TATCATATATGCCATGGTTACAATCCCTCCATGCATCATCAACCAACCAAAGGGTATACCCTGCAAGCCTGCCCCCCACCATACCCATCGGTCATCAGTACACAGCCCCTCTCCCTCTCTGGATCTAAAGTCCCCAGCTGCTCCATGTCTCCATGTCATCGTCTCTGCCTCTATCTCAGGCATCACTGCTTCTCTCTGGGTAGGGTCCCTCTCTCCGCTCTTCTCCATTGATGATCCTTGGGACCTCTACTCCTTGACTGGAAAGTTAATCACTCCCCTCCTTGCTACAAAACGTCTACCTTAACATTTCCAACCCTCCCAATCAGTCCTGATAACAATTATTCACTACTGTATCACAAGAGGCCTATCCCTTTTCTCTTGAACTTTCTTCCTGGGAGCAGTTTCCCAGAGAGCTCTCTGTGGCAATACCAAGACATCTCTAGAAAGGGTGTTTCTATTTCTCCTCCCACTGGTCTCAGAGAGGACCTCTGATGCTGCCTGGAGCTTGGAGCTAGCTGTGGGACAGGGGTGACCCATCAGGCCCCTGTCACCTGGGACATTGTCCTGGACACACAGAGGGCATGGGGAAGATATCCACCCAGGCTGGACAACTGTGTACCTGTGCCCATCTGACCAGTGGTGGGGCCGCCACAGGACCCGGGATCTCTGTGGGACAGGGACATGGGGAGGCAGGGGCATGGAGATGCTGGTTATGGGGGCCTGAGCTGTCTCATCTGGCCTCCATCTGCACTTCAGGCTGGGACACATTTCCCAGGAACCCCTGGGGAGTAGACTTCTGGTGAATGGAAGCAGGGGTGGGGGGGAGGGGGTGTCATTGTGTGTAGAGGGGACTAGGTAGGGCCTCCTGAAGGGGGTGATCCTGACCCATCACCCTGGTGAGGAGCAGAGAGGAGGCTCCACTCTGCCTGCTGTATTCTTACCATGTAACCCTGTCACTGTCCACCCCTGGCCCCTGCAGGGACAAATGGAGAATGCTCCCTGAACCAGCAGGAGGAAGAGCCTTCAGTACCTGCCCCCCAGTCCCTCCTCCTCCCCTGACAGCTGGTGGGTGGGGCTCTACTCACCCCCATGCAGGAGTGTCAGGGCCAGAGTGGCTCCTTCCCCTCTAAGCACTGGAGGACAGCATGGCCCTTGGGCCCCGATGCCTCCTGCTACTCCTGACTCTGCATGGTGGGTATTGCAGCCTGGGTTTGGGGTCCAGGTAGGGACCTGCCACTGCCCCACCCTGATGAAAGTCCTCCCCAGAGTCACCGGTACATCTGGACGCTGGCTCAAAGGAGCAATCAATCCTGCAGGAGGCAGGGTGCAGTCGAGAGAGGGGCATTCAGCTAGCCCAGCTTCCTTTATCTGGGCCTCTGCAGGGATCCCCTGGGTAGAGCAGAGGCCGAGGCTCTGGGTAGCCTTCATACCGGATGAGCCCTCTCGCTGAGTCTCAGGGACCTGGGAAGTGGGAAGGTGGGGCCCTGGCCTGAGCTGTTCATTACCTTCCAGCTGCCAGTTCATGGCAAAGCCTGGTCCCACCCAGACCTGGATGGCAGCTGTGGGTTCTGGCCCCACCCTTCCGCCACCAGCAGACCCCACCCTCCCCCTCTCATTCCCTCTGTTTCTGTCCCTTAGGCATCTCTGGAAAGGTTCTGCATGCAGGTAAGCCCCACCAGGTGTATCGGGAGAGAGTGGGAGCGTACAGGGTATCTGCTCCAGGGAGACCCCAAGGGAAACCCCATGTAGGGTGCAATCAGACATGTAGGGTGCCTTTGAAATGACAGAGTGCTTACTGGAAGACAGGGCTCAGAAACCGAAATCTGGGACTGGGGGATTGCTTCTTGTCCATTCATGATAGACGGTTCAGCAGAGGGATGCCAGAGGACATGGGGGAGGTCCTGAGGGCTCGGGGTGGATGGGTGGGCAGGGGGTGGTGGGCAGGGGAACAGACTTCTCAGATGCCACCACCAAGGACCCTTCTTCCTTTGACTCAGGGTGTGGCCAGTCCCAGGTTTCAGCGACCTGGGGCCGCATTGTGGGGGGCCACCCAGCCCAGGCAGGGGCGTGGCCGTGGCAGAGTAGCCTGCGCAGACGGAACGTGCATGTGTGTGGAGGGGCCCTGATCAGTTCCCAGTGGGTGCTCACGGCTGCCCACTGCTTCTCAGAGTGAGTATGCTTGGGTGAGAGGGAAGCTCAGGTGAAGGAGTGGTGTGGAATGCCCTCCTACCCTGGGGGCTCATCTTCTTCTCTGGGTCCCAGGAAGCTCCTCTGGCACAAAGAGCAGGGCCTCATGGTCCCCAGGCCGGCTACGGCAGTGTGGAGCTCAGGGCTTGGAGGGCTTTCCTGGCCTCTGGCACTTCTTGAGCCAACTCTTTGGAAGGCTTCTTCTGTGTGTCTTTGTATGCCTCTGTGGATGGGCAGCTCCCTCCCTCACCACTACCTCTACTCTCAAATCCTCCCCACTTCTTCCAGATCTTTGTTATTAAGTGCAGCCCTGTTTAGGCTTCCCAAGGAGGGTAACTGTAACACACTGCAACATCCTCGATTCTTATCAACGGAGAAAAGATTCAAGTTGTCAAGGACTTTGTTTTTCTTGGATCATCTATCAACACTCACGGAAGCAGCAGTCAAGAAATCAAACGACGTATTGCATTAGGCAAATCTGCTGCACAAGATTTTTCTAAAGTGTTGAAGAACAGAGATGTCAGCTTGAGGACTAAGGTGCACCTGACGCAAGCCATGGTATTTTCAATAACCTCATATGAATGCAAAAGCTGGACAGTGAATAAGGAAGATCGTAGAAGAATTGATGCTTTTGAGTTATGATGTTAGAGGAGAATACTGAAGGTGCCATGGGCTGCCAAAAGAACCAATAGATCTGTTTTGGAAGAAGTGCAGCCAGAGTGCTCCTTGGAGGCCAAGATGGCCAAACTTTGTCTCTCAAACTTCGAACATATTGTCAGGAGGGACCAGTTGCTGGAGAAGGATATCATGTTTGGTAAGGTGGAGTGTCAGCGAAAAGGAGGATCCACAACGAGATGGATTGGCCAAGTTGCAGCATCGATGGACTCAAGCATGGCAACAGTAGTGAGGTTGGCCCAGGATCCGGCCTTGTTTCGTTCTGCTGTGCATAAGGTCGCTATGAGTCTGTACGGACTCGACTCGATGCCACCTAACAACAACAACAGTGTCCTCCAGCTAGGGGCGGGAGGCAGCAGGGCCCCATGGATTCATAGTCCTCAGTCCATGGAGGGCAGCACCACTGCTAGCTCCCAAATCCTGGCTGCAGCTTCCGAGGGAGGAGTGAGGTTCTGGACCCCCAGGGAGCAGGCTGGTGGGGCAACACTGGCCTCACACTCCCCAGCCCATTCCTTCCTTCTCAGGTCCCTGAACGCGTCTGACTACCAGATCCACCTAGGGGAGCTGAGGATCACTCTGTCTCCCAGATTCTACACTGTGAGGCAGATCCTCCTCTACTCAGGCCGCCCTGGACCGCCGGGCACCCGTGGAGACATTGCCCTCGTGCAGCTGAACACTTCGGCCCTCCTCTCCCGATGGGTCCTGCCCATCTGTCTACCTGAGGACTCAGCCACCTTCTGGCCTGGGATGCGCTGCTGGGTGACCGGCTGGGGTTACACACAGGAGGGAGGTGAAGAGTCCCCCACAGCCCCTGGTCTGGTCCCACAGGGATGGAGGGAGGCTGGGAAGAAAGACAAGGGAGACTGGGGACCTCTCTGCTCTCAACAGCTCAGACGCCAGCCAAGGCTTCTGCCAGAAGCTCACCTACATCTGTCTATTATACATTGGTGTTGTTGGTAAGTGCCATTAAGTCAGTTCTGACTCACAGAGACCCTGTTTAGGGCTTCTGAGGAGTGGCTGTTGAGTTTGAACCTCCTACCCTGCAGTTCAAACCACCCTTGTGATCCAGTGCTCATTCTACAGTGTCATACCAGGACTCCCTCTACATTAATTCATACTAAAGTGTTGGTGTCTATCCACCACCTGCATTACTAGGTTAATTCATACTAAAGTGTTGGTGTCTATCTACCACCAACATTACTAGGTAAATTCATACTAAAGTGTGGGTGTCTATCCACCACCTGCATTGCTAGGTTAATTCATACTAAAGTGTTGGTGTCTATCTACCACCAACATTACTAGGTTAATTCATACTAAAGTGTGGGTGTCTATCCACCACCTGCATTACTAGGTTAATTCATACTAAAGTGTGGGTGTCTATCCACCACCTGCATTGCTAGGTTAATTCATACTAAAGTGTTGGTGTCTATCCACCACCTGCATTACTAGGTAAATTCATACTAAAGTGTTGGTGTCTATCCACCACCAACATTACTAGGTTCATAAATTCACAGTGAATTGTCAATGTCCGTCCATCAGCAATGTGCCTTGTTAAGTGCCCGGGAGTTAGTTCTGACTCATAACAACCCTGTATACAGTTTCTGAGGAGCAGCTAATGGGTTTGAACTGCTAACCTGGCCAGTTAGCAATCCAGTACTTACCCTATAGCACCACACCAGGATTCACACATTAATTCACACTAAAGTGTCAATGTCTACCCACCATCTGTGTTGGTGACTTGCATGACCCAGTGAGAAATTTGTAACTAGACTGGACTGAAGCACCCACTCCCCGAGTGCTGGGGGTCCCTACTTCCTTGCAGCCTGTCTTTCCTCCCCCTAGAGCCTCTGCCACCCCCGTACAGCCTGCAGGAGGTAGAAGTCTCGATTGTGGACATGGAGGCCTGCAGGCAGGACTACAACAACACAGGTGGTACCATCCAGTCGGACATGCTGTGTGCTCAGGGCCCCGGAGATGCCTGCCAGGTGAGCAGACTGGGCATGGGAGAGTGGGGCAGCCGCCCCAACACCCTGGTGTTCCAGCACCCCTTGTTCTTTCTGTTCCAGGACAACTCCGGAGGACCACTGGTCTGTCAGGTGGATGGCATCTGGCTGCAGGCAGGTGTGGTCAGCTGGGGTGAGGGCTGTGGTCGCCCCAACCGCCCTGGCGTCTACACCCTCGTCCCTGCCTATGTGAACTGGATTCACCTCCACATCCTGGCAGCGAGGGAGTCAGGGCTGGCCCCCCTGCCTCTTGTGGCCAGCTTCTTCCTCCCCGGACTCTTCCTCCTCCTCATCTCCTGTGTGCTGGTGGCCAAATGCTCTCTGTACAGAGCCCCCTCCTCCCCTCTAACGTCTGATCTTTAATCACTGGTCACATGACTACTGTCCTGCAGGAGGCCTAGCTCATCTCCCCATAGCCAAGAAGGTGCAATGACCCTCCCTGCGGACATGTGCAGTTCTCCACACGTCCATCAGAGGGCGGCCTCAGCAATGCAAAGCAGAGTGCCCCTTGGCTGCCCACAGTGGGTCAGGAAGCTGGCTCAGCCTCACTGTCCACCTGTGTCCTCTGTCCACCTACAGCGTGGGTGTCACGATGCCTTCCAATGCCCTAAATTGAGATTTAAGAGTGTGGTGGAATAAATGCCTGCTATCCTGTCCTGACCTTATGGTCCTTGATCAAGGGGGATGGACCAAGGGTACTCATGTGGCAACTGGGAGCCCTGACCCAGACCACCCACATTAAGTGGGCAGCTGCCAAGCCACACTTGGTGCAGGGTGAGGACTGGAGGACAAGCCGATAGAGCTGCCCTCACTGATGGCTGAGGAACCTCTGCGGTGGGCCCCAGGTGAGGACTGAGTCCTTGGAGTGGGGTTGCCTGGCTAACCTTTGCATCCTGAGCCTCTAGCACCAACTTGGAGGGGATTGGGGTGGGGTGTGGAGGGAGACCAGGTGCGAAGGATTGAGGACCAGTGCTGCCTGACACAGAAGAGGGGTGGGCTGGTGACTTGGCACCCCTACCTCGCCAGAGGGCACAAACCAGCCGGGGGTCCCGCTCATACAATTCAATATGCTTGAGACAAGATTTGCTGAATGCTGTGGGGTAGCTGGAGCGGTCATGGGCTACTTCCCCCAGCAGAGAAGAGGCTGGCGGGATTGGTGTTCTGTGGGGCAAGTGTCACGTGTAGTAACTCTTTGTGAGGGAGATGAATGGAGGTGGGCAATTGGTGAGCAGCTTTCTCTAAATATAAGGAAACCAGATCCAGGGAGGACCCAGGACATCACCTGCTGCCCCGCCCTCATGGAACACAGTCAGCACAGCATTTCTTGAATAAGTTAATGTTTATTCTGCTTTGCCCGCTCCTCAGGGTTTTCCGAATCAGATTATTGCGGCGTGTAACCTGCATTGAACAGATCCATAGGGGCAGCATCTGAAGCCCCAGAGCCCGAGCCCAGGTGGACGGGAGGCCCCAGGGGAGGCACGTGCCTTATTGCACTGGTCACAGCTCAGTAGTGACGTGGCCGCATCCCGGGAGTGGACGGTGTCTTCTAGACCACTGGGGTGAGGGGAGGATGGGGAGATGGAGCGAGAAACCCGAAGCTTCCGGTGAGGTGATGGTCGAGTGCAGGGAGTGAGGATAGGTAAGGGCAGAGAAGGGAGAAAGGCTCAGACAGTGATGAATGTGAGCTGGGACCAAGTGTGTTCCCTAGAAAAATACATTTCCTATGCCCACGGAGCCCCGAGGGTGGCTTCTGTCTGTCCTTTTTTTGGTCATTTTGGCTGTTGTCCACCATCTCTCTTGGCTGCGGGATGGCTGTCCACAGAGCCTGGCCATGACCCAGTGTGGAGCCGGGAAACCCACACCTGAGCCCTGAGGATGTGGGTTCATTCCAGCCTCGCCTCGGCTTCCTGCTGTACTTCACAGCGGACCGTGCCGCCTCCCACTCCCCTTGGTGGATGGGTCCTCCAGGGATCCACGGCCTTGAGAGGGATCCAAGCCGGGATCCAGCATGGCCCCGGAGTCTGCAGCTAATCCCATGGGCGCACCCCGAGGCCCAGTACAAAGCCCTTCACACATCAACCCCAGAGCTAAACGGGCTCCTCCAGGCTGTCATCAGGAGCCGGGGTAACTGGGGGGGACCCTTGTTTCTTTAAGGGGCTCTGGGGAACCATGAGGAGCACCCCCTGCCCCTTCTCTGGGGGGTCACTGGAAATCACAGGCAGTTCTACATTGTGAGGTCCCAGAGACACCGTGGTCCCCAAGGAGGATGCACAAGGTTCTGGGCCTGCACACTGACCACTGTCCAAAAAGGGACCCCCACCAGGGGCCCCCACGTCCAGTGGCTCAAAGGCAAAGTTTGGGACAGTCAGGTGTTCTGCTCGGGCCAGGGTCTGGCCCCAGCGCTCTCCCTTGCTTGCAGGGTCCACCCCAGTCCCTGGGCCCTCTACAGGCTCCAGGGGGTCCCTGTGGGGTGCAGCCATGCCTGGGAAGGCCTCACAAGATGGTGTTCTCCGCCGCAGGGTCGTGTTGCCTCCCTCAGTCGTGGGGGGCCGGCCGCCGCCCTCGTCCTCCACAGGAGGGTCGATGGAGATGCAGGGGGGGCTCATTTTCTTCTTGCGTCGCGCGCCCAGGGTCAATTCAACCTCCGGGGTCTCATCACGCCCACTGTCCCCACCTGGATCTGAGCCCAGCTGCCTCTGCCCATCCACCCTGCCTGGTCCTGCCCGACAGCCCCAGCCATCAGCACTTCGGAGGTGGCGCAGGCCCCCTCGGGCTGCCGGGGAGGGGGCGGGTGAGGCCTCCGGACTATGGTGCTCCGGTGGCCACGGTCGGGCAGTGCTGGTGATGTGCCGCACCTCCTCATCAGCCGGGTCTGTGGCCTCGTCGGCGCCTGGCAGTCGGCTGACCACGCAGCGCTGTCCGAATGTGTGTCGTCGGGTTCGCACACTGGCAGGCCTTGGGGATCGGGGTGGAGTCTGCAGGGAAGTCCCCAAAGATACTGGCTTGGCTGCAGTCTTCTCTCCAGACTCTCCAGGGCCCAAGGTACTGTCGCGAGAGCCTTCGATTTGTCCTTCCAGGGAGTCAGTACGGAAGGCCTCCTGAATGGACATGGGGCAGGGAAGGTCAGAGCAGGAAGCCCCAGGGTACAGGGGCCCCATTCCTTACCTCAGCCACCGTGTAGTGATCCCTGGGGGAACTGAGTCTGGACTCGCTAGAGTGGGTGTCCTGGCTCTTGCTGCCCACGGGGTGATGAGCAAGAAGGACTGTATAGGACCCACCCAGCTGCAGGTCAAGGCTGAGGAGGAGTGGGCACTGGGGTTCTCAGCAGAGGCTGGGCTCGTGAGGGGGGGGACTGCCGTGGGAAGCAGTATTTTTGGCTACAGAGTAGGGGCTTGGTCCCTATTGAGGGGGGGCCTCTCTCACTGGCTGCTGGGCTCCCTGAGATGCGACCACACTGGTTCTATTGCCTGGGACCCCATGAGCACCAAGAACAGAAACATAGGAGCCCAAAGAGACAGCCTCTTCCACAGGCCCCTCAAATGGGAGAAAGAGTCCGTGAGGGTCCAGGCCCCGCTCTACCTGTCTGCAGAGTAGTCGGCTGAGGCTGGGGGAGTGGGGCAAGGCCTGGGGGGAGGGGCTCCGCAGGGTGTCGCTGCTCCTCCCACAGCAAGGTGTAGCTGGGCTCCTCAGAGGCAGTGACTCTGGAGGGACCTGGAGGGTGGCACCGGGCTCCCCGGGTGGTGAGCTGGCAGAGGGAACGGTGCCTGGAAGAGGACAGTGTCCGCAAGGTCCACTCGTCACTCCTTGCATCTTCCCTCCCCGCCTCCCTCTCCCCCCGCCCCCACCACTGGACGCCTCGCACCTGAAGTCCCAGCGGCGCCTGCGTACGTCTCCATCTCCACCTTCTGCAGAGGCTGCGGGGAGGCCGGGGCCACAGGCCGGAACATGTAGCTGTCGTTGGGCAGCGAGAGCATGCGGGACACCGACACCTTGCGCACCACCAGCAAGTTCAGGGCCTCTGCACCTGGGCTCTCCTGGGACAGAAGAGCAGCGTCAGGACCCCGCCCACCCGGGAGACCCCGCCCAGCACGTTGCCCCGCCGCCCCTCCGGCCACCCCACCCTCATACCTCATTGGTAGTGGCTGGGGGCGCGCGGGCCATCTCCAATTCCAGCTCTGCATCTAGCTCCGCGTCCTCGCGCGCCTCCTTGTTGCTTTCTTCCAGGTGCTTCATGAGCACGGCCACCACCACATTGACCAGCACGAACTGCGCGACCAGCACGAAGGTGACGAAATAGACGGGCGAAATGACCGGCAGGTAGCTGAAACAGTGCTTGTCCTCGCGCACACACTCCCGGAGCGTGTCCTGTGGGTAGGCGGGCGGAACTCAGCCATGACCTGGAGTCTCCCAAACCACAGTCACTACGGCCCCCCCACCTGACCTCCCCAAACCACCCTAGAGTGCCTTGGGACGCCCCATCCTCCAGGGGACTCTCAAAGCAGCCATGAGCCCCTAGACCCTGGGCAGTTCATCAAGCTCCCATCCTCTGGGGACCTTCTAAATGACTGGCTGACCCTGGGGAGCCCTCAAGTCCCGCACCCTCCGGGGACCCCGAATGATCCCAAGCCCCCACCTGCCCTTAGGAAGCCTCTCAATCTCTCACTCTCTGTGGGAGAAGCCAGGTAGCTTCCTGGCTGCAGTACCTTCATGATCCCGTTCCAGTTGTCACCTGTGGACACTCGGAACAGCGTGAGAAAGGCCATGCCAAAGTTGGTGAAGGTGGCATGTCTGCTCAGACCCTCGCAGGGGTTGTCCTCGCTGCAATCTGTGAGAAGACAGAGACCCCACAGGAGGTGAGCTGGGGACAGCGAGGCAGACCCCACAGGAGGCCCCACATAATCCATTGTGGGTCCCGTCCTTCTACCCAGAGATGGCCACACCAAGAGATGGGGCTCCATTATGGCCGTAAATAAGGACACAGCTGCAGCCGCAGCATTTGTGGCCTGGGACTGAGCCGGAGGCAGGGCTGGGTGTGCATACATGCATCTCAGCTTAGCGTGTGTACCTTGGCTCATGTGTTGGTATGGGCACACTCATTTGTGGTGTGAGCACACTCATTGTGGCCACCTTTCTGCACATGCATGCACGGGTGTGTATGCTGGTCTGTCAGCACAGGTGTGCAAGTGTGTGCACCTGCGAGCGTTGATGGTTGGGCCTGGCAAGGATACCCTTGGGCAGCGCCCCCGGCTCCCTGGGTCCCTGCCCAAGTGCCCTCACCTAGCCTCCCGAACAGCTCCACTCCCAGCGCAGCATAGATAAAAAACAGGAGCATGAAAAGGAGGCCAAGGTTCCCTACCTACATGGAGAGAAGTAGGACAGCGTCAGGTGGCAGCAGTGGCCTCTGTCCTCCAGGCCACTGTCTGAACCCGGGTCACACCCTGCCCACCCCCAAGACCACCAGTACCCTCCTCTCTTCCCTGATTTCCACCCAGTCCCGTACAGGTACCACACGTGGTAGGGGCACCACCCAATAGGTGCCTGAGCCACAACCTCACCCTTGACTGCCGTGTCATTATGGCAAGCATTGGCCCACTCTATGCTCAGGGCCCAGGTGCCCCCTCTTCCTATATTCCTTTTGGCTTGGTGTGCAGGCTGGACGCACGGACAGATGTATGGGTGGCTGGTTGGGTGAGTGGTTGGTTGGTTGGTTGGCTACCTGGTTGGGTGAGTATCTGGTTGGATGGTGGGTGTGCAAGGGAGGCCCGTGGACCAATGGATCTATGAGTGGTTGGGTGGACAGAGTGTGGCTGCAGAGGGATATGATGCTGATCATGAGGAGGAACAAGTCTCTCTTAGATAGAGGCCACAGAGACAAGGGTGGCCACGTGGTACAAGAAGTGAGGACACTGGGTCTGAGCTGCCTGCACCCATGGGCAAAACCGCACCGTGCTGAGAAACCCTTGCTCCCCTGGATCCCATCCCTCAGCTGTCTATGGTCTGCCTGTGTCTGAACTAGACAGAGTGAGTGGACAAGGGTCATTACCAAGTACAGCCTCGAGTTCCTATCATGCTCACTTGGTTATTGGTTAGGACCTTCTCTGCACACCGTGGTAGCAGTACTGGTGTGAATGAACAAATGAATGAATGAATGAATGACAGCTGTGAGGCCTGTCCTGGAGCCTTCTGGGAATGTCTGAGACGCCCACCCTCGAAGCAGAGCCATATACCTACCTGGGGCAGGGCTTGAACCACTGTGTCCAGCAGTGCCCGCATGCCCACGGCCATCTTGAGCAGCTTCAACACTAGGATGGGAGTGGGTGTTAGTGGGTGGGCAGGGGGCAGGAATCCTCTGCTGACAGGGTACCCCTGCACCCCAACTTTCCCTATAGACATCTTGTGGGGGACGGGGTGGGGAGGTGGGTTAAGGATCAGACAGAAATCCCAAAAGGATGAGGAGGTGGGCTGAGCTCTGCAGCCATCTGTCCCCACTGGGCCATGGTGGCCGCTACAACTCCTCCCTCTGATCTGCCCAGGGCCCCACCAATCACGGGACAAAGTAGGACCTCTTGGGCTGCTTCTGACCATCCCTGGGGCCCTCAGGCCAGGGGAAGGACTAGGAAGTCCCAGGGCTTCTTCTGACCACTCC